GGTTTTGCAATGAATCTGGAAATCTATAAACCCCAAAAGCACAAATGAGGGAAAATATCAACACTGAGGTTTCTTGTAATCCCCGTGGGAAGTCACCAACCAATCACGTTGTCATGAAAATAGGAGTGAGTCCGCTGCACAGCCAGAGCAATGACACTCTAGTTATTCATAAATCTGTGGAATGTTGTCATCTATTGCCACATGGCCTAAAATATGGGCGAAATTCTTAAAATATGGGATGCTGGAGATTTGATGGAATGTAAATGTAAATGTGTCATGCAGAAATACTGCTTAAAGGAAAATCTACTTGGACAGAAATGTAGATATTATTTGATTTAATTTTTCATTAGACACTCTTAAAAATAAAGGTTTTGGCATTGATTGTTCCATGAAGAACCTTTTACATCCATGGAATCGTTCCATTCTACAAAAGATTCTTTATAGTGGAAAAAGGTTCTTTAATTTTTCAAAACATTCTTTGCACTAAGAAAATATGGCTCTTTTAAGAACTGTTGACTGAAAGTTTCTTAGGGGAACCAAAAATGGTTCTTCTAAGGCATCGCTGCAAAATCACCCAATTGGAACTGTTATTTTAAAGAATGTATTGTTTTGGCGGCACTGTCTTCTTGACTCGTGTCGCTGACTCAAAGTCATAAAAGTACTAGTGGTCTGATCTATTCCTGCATCGTTTGCTCTTTTAGTCCTTTTATTCCGAAGCATTTTCCTGTTGCTCAGTTTAAACCTGAGTGTTTTCAGCTGGTGCCAGAGGGGCATCTAGAGGCCCCCAGCAGTTCCCTGCTATTGGTTTTGCAATGAATCTGGAAATCTATAAACCCCAAAAGCACAAATGAGGGAAAATATCAACACTGAGGTTTCTTGTAATCCCCGTGGGAAGTCACCAACCAATCACGTTGTCATGAAAATAGGAGTGAGTCCGCTGCACAGCCGGAGCAATGACACTCTAGTTATTCATAAATCTGTGGAATGTTGTCATCTATTGCCACATGGCCTAAAATATGGGCGAAATTCTTAAAATATGGGATGCTGGAGATTTGATGGAATGTAAATGTAAATATGTCATGCAGAAATACTGCTTAAAGGAAAATCTACTGATAGACACACAATGGAGCTTTGTAAGATCAGCAAACTGGTATGCTTACTGAACGCTTATTAGCATTAGTGTTATTGCTAGCTTCTTGAAGTGAACTAATCTTTTTCCAAGGCAGCAAAAAATGCTAGTAATACTGATAATTCATCAACGTTGCTCGTCAGGGCACACTTTGGGTCCGCTGAGCAGATGGACTCAAACTGAGAGATGCCAGTTAAAGACATGAGGTTGATCAGTCAGCACAATCTCCTGACGGGACGTCTGTGATGCCATATGTATCAGATCTTATTCCACTGATGTGCTTTCTTCATAACAGGCTTCTCACAAATTTGGTTTCTTTTCTTTCATTTCCCCCACTTTTTTCCCCATTTCTCTTTTAAAGGGGTAATTTACCATTGATGATGGGGTTTTAATAAAAGTTGGCTGTATATGCAGTAGAAATGTGATTTTTATTTATTTATTTAAATCGTTGCTACATGACTAGAGTAAAAATTATGTGGCAAAAAAAAAATGTAGAAAAACTTTATAATGTGCTAGGCTTGATCAGCCTATCCGTGAGTGGGGATATAAAAATGTGGATGTATGATCTATAGTTTTCACAAGAGCCCTGGAGCTTTTATGTGTTCTACATAATCTGGCGGACCTTTGCTGCAAAATAAATGGGAATATCTTGGTGCAGGTAACACAGAAAAATAATAAACATTGTTCATTTACTTATACTACCAATAAAAGACAAAGCTGGTTGAAAATCAATAACAACTAAATAAATAAAATAATAATAATACTAATTCGGAAAAGACTTTTTACAACAAAGACAAATTACTTTATTTTTTTAGCAAAAGAGTCAACATTCATTATAATAGATCCCATTCATAATTATTTGGTTTGTTATTGAATAAAAACTAATAATGTTTTACCTGAGAAATACTTATTTTTAAAGAAAGTATCTTGACTACATTTTTGGGTATTTGTGTTTAATGTTTTAAACACTAACCACTAAATTTAGCAAATGTAAAATAATAATAACAATAAATAATAATTACAAATACCTTCTCTGAAAATGTCCTGAATTTTTTTTTTTTTGCCATTTTAGAACGTTTTGCTGGAAAACAAGGCAAAGATAGCCAGTACAATATGATTTGCAATGTACCTGTTCCAAGTAGTGGTTCTCTAAAGAGGCCTGAAAGGGTGCAGTGATTTCCTCTTGTTGCAGTAATATCTTGATCTTCAGTTTTGGAATCATAAACGGCTTTAAAATCTTTCCTGCGTGCTCTTATGTGTTCAGCAGCAAATAGACGGCATCACAGCACCTTTTCTGGTACCCAAGTCATGTACAACAACCCTTAACCATATGACACCACAAATCTAACATATAGAGAATCCAAGATACAGGGCTGCTTTTCAGAGCTGGAGGAAAGAGATCAGAAGATAGCCTCTTTGGCTGAGCTACATGAAGATCCAGCTTTGTTTAAGCCGGAGCCCCACAGTGCGAAGAAGGGTCACCACACCTCCAGGGCTCCACCGCTGCAATTAAAGACATCCATTCACACAGTCCTGCCTATCGCTCAGCCTGCTGCTGCTTTTCATCTGCTGCCCTTGTGGTGATCCCCATGTAGTACAGACTGGTGGTGACAGCCCTCTCTTTTTGAGAAGGTCTTGCTTTTTTCATGCTCGAGTGCCTTTGAAGATTATGAAGTCTCAGAGTCAATTTTGGCAGCATCCATGGCAATGCTGAGCCTGCTTTGGCTGCTGTTCAGTGTTTCTTTATTTGATTTATTGTGTTGGTAATGAATTATGAGGGTTATTACCATGCCTAATAATATCAAATGAGAATTTTAAAAAAGAAAACATGTCCATTTGATGTAAATGCGCTAAAATAGTGGATATTTTGCTTTTAGAATCAAATTATGCTTTGGATAAAGAGCGATATTGTGGCTTATCCTTTCTGCTTTTAGCTTAAACAAACCCCTAATCCCAAAGTATTAAACTTTGGTTAGTCACTCACTCTAAAAATAAATTTTCAAGCTTTTAAATAAAACAAAGATTATTGGAATGCCTTTACAAGAAAATACCTTGTCTTTGTACTTCAAAATTACATGTTTAATTTGATGTGTTATATGCTGTTTCTTTGTAATTTATTACAAAATTGACTAGGAATTTCTGTGTAAAAAAAAAATTCTACACCAATTGTTTTTTTCCAGTGTACGAACATGTATGATATGTTAAATTGTACAGTTTCTAACCATTTCTGTAACCATATCAGAATATCATAGAAAGTGGTCTCTTTTTACTTGGGCTAGTATGCAACCACCTAATACCCTGGTAACTGTAAAGTATGGTAAAAGATGGTAAAAGACACTCAAAACACTGTAATCAGTGTGGTGGCAAGTTTTATATATAGGTGAAAATCATTCACATTTTTTTTTTATCTTCAGAAAATGTTAATATATGACATGTTTTAGTGTGGTGTAAACACTTCTTTAAAGGTTTGGGATTTCTTCAGGTGTATAAAGTAACAATATGGTACTTGGGCGACATACAAGTGACTGAGTCTGAGAGTTGCAAGTTTCAAAGTTATTTCATGTTTTTTATTTATTTATATATTTATTTATGTATTTATTCTTTTTTTACATCAGAAACATTAAATTACTAACGAGGCTTTTATGTTTGGACCAATGTAAAATGAGTGCCATATTTGAGTAATGTGAAAGCATTGTTGATAGTGGCTGCAGGCAGAATGGAAGAGTGTTTTGTGAATGAAGGGGATCCTTCGCTTTCTCCCTCCTCTTTCCTCTTTCCTCTTTCTCTGTCTCTAGATGGGGTCAGCAGGAGTCTGCGTTGATTTGTGACAGTTGCTTCCTCTAGGGTGAACGAGGACAGTGGTGAACAAGCAAGTTGATGGATGCTTCTCAAACACAGGAAATGCAGGGGTAATTTAGGACAAGAGAACATCAGTACTGGAGTTTTTATATAAGGTACATTAACAGATAAATGTAAACATCAGAGGTAAGGTGCATGTGTCAGAAACATGGAGAATCCAATCTATGGAGAATCAGAGCATGTCTGAATCCAAAGTTTTATAAGAAGCAATCTTTTTATTAAATGCTTAAATTTTGATTGTTTTATAAGTATTTTTATAAATTATTTTGACTTAATTCTGTATACATTTTAAACTGACTTTTAAAATGATTATTTTTATGAATGTAATTTTTAAAAATGACATTTTTATAAATTGTTTTAAAATATTATTAGACTTTTAAAATCCCTGTTGACCTATTTTTAAACTTTTTTTTTTCTTTTTAAATAAATGTAAGTTTTAGAATTTTTTTTTTTTCCATTGTAGGATTCCATTTCTACCAAGAAATAAGAATTGTGGCCATTAAATATTTGCTTGGTTATCTCTAAAGTGCTCTTGAATTTTGTTCTATATCATTAGATGTGATGCTACGGTTCCCTGGAAACCAAGTACCTTCATACAAAAACGCTGTCTGATAAGTCATTGACTTATCCCCTAGGATCTGGACACAGCCGCAGAACTTCCTGGGTGATCCGGACAGTTCTCCCAAAGGCAAAAGCCATGGTAAAGTAAAATATCTCCTTTTCTTTCCTCTTCCGTCCATTCCTTTTGTTTTGAAAGTATCCGTATGGCTTTCTGTGGGTTTGACGGTGGTGTAACCTGGAATGCATCCAGCCCGTTGAAATGGGGGCAGAGCTATACAATGAGACGTGGATCTGTTCTCCTTCACAATTAAAGCCAGTCCATTTACATCCAAATATGCTGTATGCAGGCCTTGTTTACACAACAGTATCTCTCTCTCTCTCTTTTCCTCTCTCTCTCGCCCTTTCCCTTAGCCGTAACTCCTCCTCCAAACCATCATTCTAACAACTATACATTCTTCCTCCCCTTCCACTCTTACTCTGAATGACTTAGTCACTGCATGCTGAGGCTTCCCGTTGCCTGTGGGGATTTTGGGGAATTTGTGATGACAGCACCTCTCCCTCTGCGGAGGTGTTGCCTTGAATATCCAAGGAGAAGAGGCGAAAGAGACACTCACAAAGGCTGATCGCGTCCACTCTTAGATTTAATGGGACCTTAGACACTTTGCACGCTCCTCATCATGACCATGATAGCGGTTGGAATTCCCAGCACATTCTGAAGAACTCTAAGGTGAGATGGCCCTCATTGTTTTAATATGCAGAAGTCGGTCTATAGGGCAGACGTCAGCTTCAGTGCTGACCTGCTGGAGACTCTTAAGGGCAGGTGGATGACTGAAGTTCATGACAGAGAATACTGAAAAAATACATAGCTTGAAGTCACTTTGGATGAAAGTGTCTGCCAAATGAATACATTTAAAGTTTAATGTGCTGATAAATGTGAAAGCGAAATGTCAGGACTCGCTGGCGAATGTTACATATGCTTTCAACATCTTTGGACGGGTAGTTCATATGTTCTGTGGTGTGACATTATGCATTTACTGCATCTAAAACTATTTTAAATTGCATTTTGTTAGTCGTTTTATAATTATTTATGCATGCAGTTTGACCTATCCAAGGAAAGACTACATAACAGAAACCTGTTAATAAAAATAAGCAATTACTTCTTTATTTCCCATAATTGCCACTTTATATCTCCCAGTGTGAATTATATCTTGCCATTTGACAGTTATATTTTGCAGTTTTCACACTTTTAATTGCATCTTTATTTCTGATAATTGCCACTTCATGTAAATATATATCTTGCAAACTGTTAAATGTTGCAGTTGTGACTTTCTTTTAATTGCATCCTTATTTCTCATAATTGCCACTTTATATTTCCTCGTGTGAATTTATATAATGCAATTTGATTGTTAAATTTCACAATAGTGACTCTTTCTTTTAATTGCATCTTTATTTCACTTAATTGAAATTTCATTTCTTGCAATTGCAATGCTATAGCTCACATTTTTATGCATTTGTTGTATTGCTGGGCAATTTAAAATGAACCAATGAAAGTAAAAAAAAGTGAATAAAAATACTAAAAGAAAAATGGTGACCAGGAACTAATATATACAATATAAACTTTTGTACATTTTTGAACATTAAAATCTAAATGTTGATATAAAAAGAAATAAATACAAAAATAAATAAGGCCCACTTTTGATGTGCATTCAAAAATGCGACTCTGAATGATGCATATCAAATATCAGGAACATATGGCAGGAGTCACAGGATAATTATTTTAATTTACACGTGTCAGTAACTCTGTGTACGTTTTTACAGGACCATTACAGTTGTGGTGAAATGTACAATGTGTAATGCAAAAATAACGATCTCTGTAAAATGAATGGGAATGGCAGCATTAACAGTCACTCACAGTGTGTAAAGTGAAAAGAAAACACTGCTTGCCCCTTTTCATGTATTGCAACACTTTGCACTCAACGAGAAACTTGTAGAACGCTTGAGTGACATTCACAGTGCAGAATCCTCTTTGGCTGTTTGCACCAAGTCTTTTATACAGCTGGGAATGAGGAGGCCTCCTTTTACTGTGGCTTTAGAGAAAAATGGGCAAAAGGAAAGGAGGTAAGAGGACTAGATCTAATCAGGGTTACACTTGCAACACTTTCTCATGAGAGACAACGTTTTCTTTTTTTGGGGTAGGAACTTCCAAATATGCAGCATCCAAATATGAATCCTGTCATACTAAGTGACAGATTATAATATTTAAAAGTATACTGAAAATAGTTTACACTGTTAAATCAGTAACTGGTCACCAGAATTGTCACCACTTTTTTGTCTTTTGATTAGATCATTTTAAATTGTCTTATGGTTTGACAAATTGATTTTTAAAAGTATAAATATTGCATGTAATCTCTCTGTGTGAGTTCCATAAAAAAATGCATAATGCATAATTATAAAATAACCAGCAAAATGCTGTTTAAAGTAGTTGTAAGTGAAGTACAGCATATCCAAGTATTTAATGTGAACTACCATTATACAAATTGTTTGTGCATTGTAATATCTGACATGTCACATATTTCATAACCTGTGTTATATATTGTGTGTGATTTTGATAAGCATGTTTGCATGTGTGTCACAGGCACATGGGAAATCAGATCTAGGTGGCTGTGAGTCACTGACCTTGTCCGGTGTTTGGTCACTCTTCTTATCTGCTTTTAAAGGTTAAAGCCCTGAGGATTTGTTAAGGGCAGGTGCATGCTTTCCTTTCTCTTGATGAAATTGGACCATGTTTTTGTGAGTGTGTGTGAGATATAGAATGAGAGTGAAGCACAAGGCGACGTGTTAAATGAGTGAAGGCCACAGTCAGGGTTGCCAGCTGGCCCCCTTCTCACATTTAACACCACAGATACAGCTCTGATTTTCTATGCATGCTTGGGATTGCACGTGAATTTTCAGTATTTCCATTTGTTGATGACCACTGGCAAAGTTCCATACTGGAGGGTTCATGAAAATAAACTCTTTGTGAAGATAAGTGTATCAGTCAGTGAAATGTTTTTTTTTAAAAATTGAGTTAACCATTACAAGAAACTTTAAGATAAACTTAGAGATCAATATTAAGTAATACTGCTAATATATATTTGTACTTGTTTTGTCTGTACTTGTGAGGACCAAATGTCCTCACTTATATTGTGAAATACTGACAACCCACTAGTGAGGACATTTTAATGGTCCTCACTAGTTAAAAAGGCATTTCAATCAGCCAAGATGTGTTTTTATTTAAATCTAGTGGTCTGCACATGTTTCTGTGATCAGTAAGTTTAGGGTTGGTGATAGAAAATGCCATTAACCGGATAGAAAATCAGTGGAAGTCTCTGCAATGTTTTTATATTGTACATTTTTAATGTGAATTTTTTATTTAGTGCAATATTTTGTCATTGCAACATTTTAGTGTAATTTTCACTAGCAACTGCAATTGGATTTATATTGTAAACCTAAGTTTACTGTTATCCCACCGGTCACTATTGTGACCATCAATATGTTTACTCATTCTATGACCACACTCAACAAAACTGAATTTATGTGAATTCATATATTAATACTAGACACCTTAAAGGGGTCATATGACGTTGCTAAAAAGAACATTATTTGGTGTAATGAAATGTGTTTATGCTGTTTAAAGTAAAAAAAACTAATTATTTTCAACATACTGTACATTATTGTTTCTCCTCTATGCCCCGCCTTTCTGAAACACGTCGATTTTTACAAAGCTCAATGGTCCTGAAAAGCGAGGTGTGCTGTGATTGGCCAGCTATCCAGTGCGTTGTGATTGGCTGAATACCTCAAGCGTGTGACAGAAATGTTATGCCCCTTACCATACTGTAATGCCCTGTCCGGCCGGAGCGATTATTCAAAAACATGAAAACCCATTACAAACGAGGCATTTGTTGCATCCAGTGGGTACATTACGGATTATAATGACTTATACTGTCTTTTTACGTGTTGCGTTGCATCACGCCGTGTAAACATAAAACCATGACTGCATTTGTGATTGGAGAAATGACAAACAAGCGCTACTCTACACTGCTCAAAACTTGCGTTTGAATCGTCAGTGGCAAATCCTTTAAATGAAAACATACTTACAGGCTGTGAGTCAGAACAGCCGGCATTGTAGTCTACTCTCCCAGGATCAGGAAACAGTCCTCCATAAAATGCGCTGCACACATCTGAATATTTGGGTTGAACTGTTCTGGAACAGTGTTGTAAATACAACTTAACCACTGATTTCTAGTCGTGTCCTCTTTTGGAAGACCAAACAAAGTAGTTTCGCTTTCACAACGAAACACACGGCGGGCTAGAGTGAGCGGAGGCGGGCGGGCTTGAGAACGGCTCGGCCGGCGGATTCGACGAAGGAGCATCCGGCGGGTTTGGCGGCAACCACATGTGATGAACC